CGAAAACACCTCACTTCGGGGACCGTGGGGTTCCAAAATTCCATCCTCCGGCTACGAATGGCAATCCTCTTAAGGCGTCGCCTTGTTAACATGTCGCTTTCATCCGCATTATTAACGCTCATCGCTCGTCTTGGCATGCTTTGTTTTAACGGCTTTTGTTAGCCGGGCTATTTACACTGGAAAATTGTACTCAAGTGCTAATATTGTGGGCCGTGGAGAGGCGTAGATAAGGGTATCTATACATTTTGCTCAGCCGACTTGATGTGGCCAAACAATGGCAGACGAATAACAACTGAACGGGGCGACAGGTCAAGAGGGAAAGCAGGGAAAGACGTGTGTCAGTATCTGTAAGTATATGTTCACATAAACATATAGTACAGCCTGGGGGCAGTCTAGGCAAAACAATGGACTTCAGAGGCCTTTTTTGGCTAGGTGTATCGAGAGTGTTTGGCTTAGTTAAGGAGTTCGGTGCAGGAAGGCAGACAAAGTCCTGTCGATGAAGCCTCTCAAATTTCCTAGGTGTCTGCGAGAATAAAACTAAGGGCTTCTGAAAAATCAATGGCTGAAAGCTATGTTTCAAGACAAATTAGCCACAAATTGGTCCATGGAAAGGATTTACAATTTCTAAATCGCTTAGAATTACGTGTGTCATATATATTTTAATTAACTAGTAAACCCGGAAAATAATTGAAAACAAATATTTTTTCACTTGATTAAACTTAATCGACAACCTATTTTTAAAAACAACGCAATGTATTTTTAAAAATGCTTTGTATTTTATTATTAGTTCTTATGGCTAAATTTACATTTATTAATAATAATTTTGTGTTTTATATATAGTTTACAATGACCTTGTCCTTTAAAGCATACAAAGCTCTTAACGATGTTTTTGTCTGATGAAAGAGAATAGATAAATGGTAAATTAAATATTTTTAATGAAACCTGCAAGGATATTTAATAAAATACAGTGAAATATAACAAAACGAAATAAGATTTTGTAATTGGGTGATTATGAGGTATGAGTTCTAGGTATTAAAAGTAAAGTCAAAATTCCTCATCAGCGTCTTAAGTCAGCTTACACGAAATACCATTTCGGTTGCTTCAGTCAAATTAGGAAGGAAATTAGCCGAACGCCAAACCAATCCCAAAATCCTGGCCCACACACACTCTCAGTTCTCAGCCAAGTGGCGGCATGTTGACAATTAGTCCTTTAAATTAGGTGGGCGGGCCATTTGGGCCTCCTGCGCTCCTGAGTTCCTGCGGTTGCCCCAGTGTGTTGTTCTTGCTTGGCGCTGAAATGAAATTGATTGTACTTTTCGCTGCCCCACTGGGAAATAAGTGGTAAGAGGGAGGGAGTTTAGGGGGTGGTGCTGATAGGTGTGGCAGGCTGGATCACAAGGCAGAGGCTGAGCAGCTCGTTAGCTTGAGGTGCCTTTTGGTATTTGCCTTCGCGGCCAGCGGACAATGAGACGCAAAGCCAAGTAATTAAGACAGTGACAAACACTCAACGGAACCACTTAAACGGGAGCAATGAGACCAAGAGGGAGATACCAACAAAACAGACTGAGAGGAAGTGAGAGGAGGGCGGCACAAAGGACAAAGGTCAGCGAGCCACTTGGCTCGTGTTTATGCGCCTTTTATGCTGCAACTTCATTAAATTTCACTTTTATGAGCGCAAATAAATCGTTAAAAACCTCTCAAAGCTCCTGCACAAAGGAGGCCACTCCCCCAAAGCCGCCCCTCCGCTCTTCACCCGGGAGGGGCACCCGGGCAGACAACTGGGCCAGGAAATGTAGCCGGACAACGGTTCTTTTAATTACTTTCTGCATAAATTTGCACTCATTTCCGGCCCTCGACCATTCCTTCTCCCTCTGGAGATGTCTGGACCAGCTGGACGCTAAATGGGAAACAAATTTGGTAGCTACAGACGAGGGCGCAATAATAGTAGTAGTAGTAATGGCTACCAATTAATATGGAAACCTTTTAATGATTTTATAATCTATATTCTCTCTAATCAAAAAATTGAAAAAAAAATCTAGAATAAATTATTTCTTTTTAAATCCGTCTTTAAAATATTTTTGAAAAAATCACTTTTCTGAAAAAAATCATACATTTTGTTTTTGGAGAAAAACCAAGAAAAGTTTATCTTAGAACTTTTAGTCTTTGAAAATAATTTTAAATTTGAATTTATAAACTAAATGGAATTCAGGGATATACATTAAATATTGAAAAGGATCGAAAAAAAGATTTGCTTTTTAAAATACTATTAATCCGGACACGACTGTATGTTCTTATACGTACGTTTGTTAGCGCTTTGTTGTGCCGAATAAAAAAAAATTATGCAAAGGAAAAGTGCAAAGGCGAGAGGTCCTCGAAATGTTGGCCCATAAAGGGAGTTGGTCGCGTTCGAGTTCGCTTTCGCATTCGCTTTACGCCGGGCACTTGATGGCAGAGCTGGGCTCTTAATGTTCCTGGAGGAGGTGCCTTCCCCTTCCCCTTCCCCTGCCATCGAAGCACATGTGCGAGTGTCCTTTGGGTGTCCTGATATCCTCATGCAAGCTGCCATTCTGCCCTCCGCCCCTTTGGTGTTCGCTGGCAAATTGTTATTTAATTATGGCATCCTCGCCACGTTGCCGAGACGCAGTCCTGGACCGCAACCGGTCACGTTCCGGCGTTCCGGTAATGGCGAATAAATCAACAGCGGAAGCGTTGCAAGTGACGTGCCTCCGATGATGTGCTTGTGGTTGCCCGGCTCCACCTGTCCGGGATGTGTCGTTTATCGTTCCTTTTTCCCGCCCCCGCTCTGCACCGCCCACCAACCAAAAGCAGCAGCAGCATCACTTGGAGCGCGAAATGATTGACTTTAAAGTCAAATTGCGCAATCTAAGCCAAAGGCAACACCCGCGGGCGTGCCGGAAATGAGTTGCAACAGAAGTTGCTCCTGTGCACAGAGACACGGGCTTTTGGCCAGGATTGGTTACCTCCCGGCTTCCAATCAGCGTCGCAGCTTGCCGTGACATTCAATTAACTCGATGTCGAGCTGTAGACCCGGCCCAAACGGCCAATGTCTCTTGCATGCGGCATAATATCCGTGAGGCGATGGAAAACCTTGCGGAAATTAATCCTCGTGTCAACTGCCGGTGGTGGTCAAAAGGATATACCAGCTTTGTGGTCTTCTAGTAAAAAAAAGAACTTTGTGAAAAGTTTCTGGTTTCTCGGAATGTTTTCCCTAACCCAAGCAAGCTTTACTTGGAATTACCTTATGAAATTCAGGATTAAATCTGGGTTTAACACTTTAATAAATAGGTAACGTTAGTAAATATATTAATTGTATTTTCCCTATAGTGAAAATGTAATCAATCCAAGTAGGAACCAATTAAATTCTTGCTGACAGATACACTTTCCTATGCTCTCACTAAAATCTATCTGCTGAATTTTCCCAGCTCAACTTTTTGTCTTTTGTTCGCGCATGACTCTGACATCCATCTGGAACTGACGGCTTCCGGCTGTGATTATCAAATCGAGATATAATTGCTCCGATGCCCCATCGCCCACCTCTCCCTAAACATTACCCTCATCAAGAATGGTTTTCCAGCTCATCAGGAATTCAGTTGGCCAGGTTTCCCTAGCCCGGTGACCCAAATACGACATCATAATCATTTATCCTCGGGATTTGCCCAAGAATAGGTACAAGGCAATCACCGATTTGGCAGGACTCCTGCTCGTAAATAGTTTTCGATTGCCAGCGAGCAAATAAGTCAATATTAAGTTAGCAGATAAGTCACCTTCTGTGGGATGTCCCCCAACTTGGCTTCGGTTTTTGGCTGCGCAGCAATTTCTTATCCTTTATCAAGGCGACTGTCGCACACAGAGCTGTCTGACGGCCTGACTGCCTGCATGTGAGTTTGAGTTTGAGTCCTGAGTCCTGAGAGTGCTGAAAATGTTTTCAAAATCCACTCAAGCTCACTTGGAAGTCACAGGCGACAGCAGGTGGAAAATGGGGGCGTCGAGACATTCAACTTTATGCTGCCAACATTCTCAGGGATTCCGGGGATTACCGTTCCCCCTTTTGCACACCAATAAACTTGACAGTTAATCCGTAATTGATCTGGAAAAAGGTACGATTATGATAATGAAGATGACAATGAGAATGCTGATGGAACTGAAAATGAAACTGAAACTGACAATGAGGGAAAATTCAAAGAGAACTCTTAGAGTGACCGAAAGTAAAGCTTCTGCAGTAAAGAGACTTTGTTTATGCCCACTTTCTGGTTTGGTTGCGTTACGGTTAAGGTCCCCATTCTGGCAGCCACATGAATTTAAATTTTTATTTGACAATAATAAAAGAAAGGACGTGTCAAGACAAATGTCCTTGGGGTGGTGGCTGGGGTGGCTGGGGAAATTCGTTTATGGAAATGCGTAAAACGCCAAGAAATTCGCAACTTACCTAAGCAGCCATAACAGCAGATCATAAATAAAACAATATCATGCATATGAATGCTTACGCAGTGGGTTTTCCTGGGTTGGCTTGGATTAGGGAGGTGGAGGGTAAAAGCGGTGCTGCGACAAGTAAGCAAAATGTTATTTGCTTCTTGGCACGCCATTGTCGGGCGAAGCAACGAGGCAGCTGGGAACACGTGCAGGTCCTGCCAGGATATGTAAATCGAGGCGTGTGTGTGCATACATAGCTATAACGCATATAACCATGTACCAAACTCATACTTGCCCCACTTTAGCTCCTCGCACGATGGGGATAGTGCAAGTATTGGTGGAGCAACCAGTGTAAGGACAAAAGCCAAAAGTGAGAAAGTACTACGCCAGGAGCATACAAATGCCAGCCATGGCGCAACTTGTCATAAGCGGCACTCGCGGCTTACAAGCAAAATAGTCGAAGCCAACAAACAACAAAAAAGACACCGTCAGCAACGAAGCAGCAGCAGCAGCCACCTCAGCAGGAAGTCAGGAGCAGCAGCAGCAGCAGCAGCAGCACCTCGAGAAGAATGGAGCCGGATTCTGCAGCAGGTCCTCCCAAGAAAAGCGGCACCACCCTCTCCGTGGACCGGGCCGCCTTCCTCCTGCTGCGCGTCAGGAAAGTGTTCAAGAAGAAGCGACAGCAGCGCAAGGAGCGACAGTAAGTCGAATGTTTGCCATTACTTAACCACCACAGGGGGTAATCGGGGATTTCAGGCGGTATTTCAGGGGATGCTCCAGGCGGGGGGAGTAGTCAACGGGATTTGCCGGATTTCCCTGGCAATGAATTGTCAGCCAGCCGAAGGCAAACAGAATTAACAATCTGTTTGAACGGCGGATTGGAAACGGATTGGGCCGCAATCAAAAGCGATTTAGTTGCCAATCAATGAGCTCGGTCCGAAACTAAATTCAATACCGACCGAGATGTGTATTTAGCGAATAATTCATCAACTTCCCTTGGTTAATTTTTTCTATCTTAAGATCTTATTTTTAATCGAGCTTTAAGAGCTTTGAATACCCAACTAAAGAAAATAAATAACTTAGAGAGACAAAAATAACACGCACAAGGAAAGCATTGCTCATTTAATAGGAGAAATAAAAAGGATTTCCAGGGGAATAAAATAGAAGATTTTCTATCATCACATCACATTATTTGTATATAATGCAGAAGATTTATTTCACCAGATTAAATGATTTTATTTCTGTTTACTTGATGGGTTTTAAAGCCAGCTTGTTTGTTTCCAGTACAACAATTTCTTACTTTAATTCTGCTTATAGTAAGTTTTGGAATTCTATAAGTGCATTTAAATCTATAATGATTTGTTCTCAGAAATCTTTAGATTAAATTTCATTTATATTTAGTTTATGGGTTTTAATGCCAGCTTGTTTGTTTCCAATACAACAATTCCTTTCTTTAATTCAGCTTTTAGTAGTTATTTGCTATTGGTGTAAAATCTAACTTTTAAATGACTTAATTCTCCAAAATCTTCAGATTACATTTAAATTCCCCCAAATCTTAAGTTTTTGAGACAGCAAAATTCAGAGCTCGTAAAAGACTCTTTAACTTGAAAATGTGTGCACTTCGACATACTTAGTACCCCGTGGAAATGAATCGAAAGCAGCTTTTAGGTGCCTGCATCTCGAGGGGATTTTGGCCAAGTTCAGTTCGGTTTTTTCGGGCCGGATGCAGCGCGTGAAGTGCCCTCAAAGTTGCTGATAAATAGCTCCTGGAGTCTCAGAGGCTCCAAGTGTTTTCGGGGCGTTTGGGCATTTGGGCGTGGCTAGGTGCCGATGAGGGCGTGGCAAACCAATCTCGATTCCCATGCACGTCCCGCTGCCATTGCTCATTTGTTTGCTGGAAAAGCAGCTGGCAAAGGCAGCTCGTTAGAGATTCGCAGCTATGTTCATCCGCCTTCTCTCTCTTTTTCCGTCGCAGTTTATTGCGTGTGCTGCAAAGAAGGAATTTTCCACATTTTCTTTTGCCTCGCTGCATCGCGCCGTAATGAAAATGCTTTTTATGCCCCGGCATTCGCATGCTCAACATTTGCTTAAGCAGCAGGGACTGCGAAAGAATTCCAAGCGGCAAACTCAATTAGGCACGAGCAACCCGTTTCCTCCCGAGGATGGGGTACATGGCTTCAAGTGGGTTCGCTTAAAGTTCACTCACTTATCCCGAAGTTCTCTAACCCCGCTCTTAACCCATTTTAAAGGGGCGCGGCCGGGTGTCCTTTGGGATGAAAAAGGTCCGCCTTCCGATGATTTGATTACACGAACAACATTTGCTCTAATTATGCACGCACATGTAAACACAGCAGCAAATGCAATTACACCAGCCCCTATGAAAATCGCACACATGCCGGATTACAGGGCGCACACACTGCGTATGCGTAATTTGGCAAAGCCTTTCGGCTTAGTTGGCCTTTTTTGCACACACAAATGCCCGAAATGAGACAGGAATGTTGTCGTAGCTGATGTTAATATCCCTGTACGTCCACAGAGAACTTCATTAGTTTTCCGTCCGAGGTGCCAAGCGAAATTCCCCAATTTGAGTATGCAAATGGGAGAGCAGATAATCGGCGGCGAGTAATTGAATCATCAGGTGAGGTGAGGGGCGGTCCAGAGATAATCCCTCCCGGAAGAGCAGTATTTCATATCCTTTTGATCTGCGTACATTCTGCCACTTGGCTCATTAAATAGCACCTACTCATTATCAGGGTGTAAACTTTTATGCAGGCGTCGTCCCATCTTAAAGCACTTTTCCCAGCCATTCCGGCAGCATGTTAACCTTTTTTCACTCCTTTACCGTGGAGTAATGTACGATTTACGGTTACGAGTATTTCACGTCAATTATGTAGATCCGCTTTGAGTTATGCGAGTGGCTCCGCCCCCGTGGAACCCCCCTTTTTTGACGGCTCTACTCCCTGGCTTTGTTGCCTTTCGGAGCTCCCTGCTGCGACCTGTAACAGCTTGCCTTTAGTGGGTGCTGCGGCATTATTCTCCTCGTATGTGTGCCTTTGTGCTCGACACTCAGCACTCCCGAAAGCGCCGGCGGCCAACCTCAAGCCTCTCAGCTGCACAGCGAAAATATTAACCCAAATTAGGCATTCGTTTGGTCTACGGAAATTTGGCATATCCTTTGTAATTTCCCATCTGACGTAATGCAATTTAAAGGGGTCATCTAGTAGGGTCATAACACAGAAATTCCCACACATTCATATTCATAGTTCTTTAAAAATTAAATTAAAAAGTTAAGTTAACAATTTTAATTTATATTGTTTAAACATTTTATTTTATGGAAGTTTATCCCTTATTTGGTTTACTCCTACAATTAAATCTAAACTTATTTATTTCATTCAGCTTGTTGTAATAGCGTTAAAATAAATACATTTTTAATTTTATAAAGATTTTAAAAATTGAAGAAAAATTAATATTAACTCTTATAATTTCCTAAATATCTAAAATTTATTATTTTTTATGAAAATCAATTCTGCATATTATTTTTCCCAGTGTGCTGTAAAAAACAAAAGGGCGCCATGGTCTCCTCACAGCCCTAAGTTATTTCGCTAAAGCATTATGTAATTTTGCCCTTATTTATGTGTGGACATTGTGTCATGGTGTTGCTCTTTTGGCAGCTTTAACCAAGTATTTCGCCAGTTTTCTCAAGTTGTCCGCTGTTGTTTTGCAAGGACGCAGATAAATTGCTTACATGATTCCTTTGCCTTTTGGTGCAGTGGTGCAACTTTGCTGCCGTTTCGCTCCATGATGGAAAAGGACTAAATGCGGGTGCAGCTCCTTGCTTCTTGCCATGGAGAAGCAATTGAATGTGTTGTCCCTAGCTGGGATCTTGTAAATGCCTCTGGGTGGGAAAAACTTTGCTGATTTCTGTTCGTTTGGCAGCCCCTCCTGCCGTCCTGCCATCCTGCTATCATCATCAATATTGCAGGAGGGGATTCCCTGGGACCCTGGCAGATATTCAGGCGCCTTGCCTTGGCAAAATGTCAAAGTCAGAAATAAATCAAATAAAAAGTTTTCCATTTTTTGTTAGCATACACAGCTCTCGCATTCTTTTTTTTTTATTTGGTATTGCATTCAGATATACATATGTATGTATAGTTCAAGTGGCGGGTGGGTTGAAATGGGTTGTGGAACTGTTCCATCATCTCGGGATCCCGTGTTTCAAAAAATTTTATAAAAATTCGTTTTATTTATTTCTTTTTATCTCTTGGTTCTGTTTGGACTTCACGTCGTGTGACTTGTGCTTTCGTACTTGGACTTCATTAACGCATCGCGTTTGCCGGCCTCGCCTGCATTGGCTGGCCGGCCGCCCTGCTGGTCGTCATCATGTCTGCCGCTGATCAAGATATTAATGTCCCTCTATGTGATCATGTTATGAATGTGGATAGTTGCGATGGTTCTTCGTCTCCCAATTTATTTATAACTGATAATTCAAATGCCAGTACTAGCAAGGAGTTTTCAAGGTCGTCTAGAGGTCGTGGTGTAAGGGTGACCTCCGTCAGGTCCAAGGAAGCTAGATCACAGAAATTTGATTCTGAACGCAATTTATCTATTGCTGATACTTCATGTTCATCGCTAGACAATTTGAAAGACGTTCTGGAAGCTTCGGCGGATACTTTGCTTAATGCTGAGAAAGATTTTGCTTCTCAACATGAATTTGATAATTTTAATGAAGGAATACACGGTGCAAGCACACCTGGACATTCCACTACTTCAAATCTACAATTCGTCAGTCAGGAAGTGGCGGACCAGTTGCGTTGCGAATCCGTCAAACGCATAAGAAAGCGAAACAAGCTTGACCCTAACCACAGTAAGGATGCTTCATTTGGACCAATTATTAAGCGCTTTCGTAATATTAAACGCAAGGTTCACTTGGAAATATTTGGATCAGAGGACTCGGACTCTCCTGGTGAAAAATATTCAGGTCATGGAAACAACTTTGCCCTCTTATCGGATGAAGACATTGAAAACCCACTCCCTAATGATCGTATAGACACCCAGTCTCCTCCATCGGAGCCCCTAAACTCCTGCCAGCCCCCTGTGACTAGTAAGAGTACAATAACTTCTAGCAATAGTGGTGGAATTTCCCAAAAGTCAAAGGGTATTTCTGGTACTCCTATTCCGTCGTCTAAAGCACCCAAATCTGAACCACGTCCGCCCGCCTTTGTGATAAAGGGTGTTACTGATGTCAAGCAACTTATGAATCTGATCAAGGCCACCACAACCAATATAAGATTTAAGATTACTGGACCTGCTACAGTGAGGGTATCTCCTTTCGATGGTGATACATACAAATTAGTTCAACAACTTTTGTGGAGTAATAATATTCCGTTTAATTCTTGGCAATTGAAAAGTGATCGATCTTTCAGGATTGTCGTCAAAGGCCTACATTCGTCTACGGATCCTGAAGATATTAAAGCTGATTTAGGCGCCGCTGGGCACGTTGTCCGCAATGTTTATAATCCCCCGGGTAAGAACAATGGTCACAGGCCCAATATTTTCTTTGTTGAGCTAGAGTCATCGACAAATAATGTCAAAGTCTATGACATTAAATCATTGGCTTATCAGTCAATTACTATCGTCCCTCCTGAACGCCGAGATGAAGTTGTTAGATGTTATAACTGCCAGGAGTTTGGACACACAAAAACATACTGTTTCATACCTCCCAAATGTGCAAAATGTGGTGGTGATCATGAGTCTCGAAGTCCTGTTTGCCCTGCTACGTCTCAGGATCAATTTAAGTGCATTAATTGCGGTTTTAACCACAGTGCAGGATACCGCAAATGTCCAGCTTTTCTAGAAGCAATTGCTCGTCGCAAATCGGGAACAATAAAAAAACAACCATCAAATAAATTTGTACCTGCCCCTCTTCCTGCCCAAAGTGCTTGGGGCCCAGCTTTACCTTCCCCGGCTATTGGATCTAGCACTTCCAAGCCCATGCAACGCGTTACTGAGCCTCCTCCGCCTAGTGCTGGCTTTGAAATACTTATCTCCCGTATTGACCAGATGATGTCAATGATGTTGAAAATGATGGAACTTCTTATGAACCAGTTTACCGGCAGTTCGCCTTCTGATGCGTCTAAGATCAGGAGACATGTCTAGTTTAGGCATTCGTTTATCATTTTGGAACGCCAATGGTGTCACTGGCAAAAATCTCGAGTTAGAGCACTATCTTACGGCTAATTCAATTGACGTGATGCTAATTAACGAAACGCATTTTAACAGCCGCTCACATTTCAGAATTTTTGGATATGATTTATTGACGGCTAATCATCCCTCTGACCGTCTTCGAGGAGGTGCTGCTATTTTAATCCGCTCTCACTTGCAGTACTCCCCTTACAGTACCAACTCTACTGTAAAATGTCTAACTGCTGCAATTACCTTAAGCACGGACTTGGGAGACATCGTGATTGCTTCTATTTACTGCCCCCCTCCTTTTTATGGACTGCTCAAGATTTTGGACAACTTTTTAGCGAATTTTCAAACCGTTTTATCATAGCTGGCGACTGGAATGCTCACAATCAATTTTGGGGTTGTATCCGCTCTTCACCCAGAGGTGTTCAGCTTTTAGATTTTATTACGTCTTCAAGTCTGCAAGTCTTAGCTACAGGAGGACCAACTCACTTTCCTTCTGATGCAAGGCGAAATCCAACGGCAATCGATTTTGCTATTTATAAGGGTATCTCGTCCAACTTTCTGACTGTACATGAATCTCATGAACTTAGTTCTGATCACATTCCGCTTGAAATACTTTTATGCGCTTCTACTTCACCCCGACTTACAACACCAAGGCTGCTGTCTCGTCGGGCTAACATTGGACGTTTTAGGGATCACCTTACAATCCTTATTGAGAATGATGAATCTGCTGATCTGAACTGTCCTCTGGATATTGATACAGCTGTTAGTGACCTCACTCTAAAGATTCAATCTGCCGCTGCCGCATCCACTGCTATCGGTAATCGCCCTGCTGTTCCACAGCCAAATAATGCCCTTTCAAACACCAGAGTAACGGCGCTGGTTAGGCAGAAGAGATCACTCCGGCGACGCTGGATGCAAACGCGTCATCCACAAGATTTAGCAATATTTAAAAGAGCTGATACTTTATTAAGAAAAGCACTTTATGATGCTAAGTCCGAATTTTTTGTCCGGAAACTTAGTGCTATCGATCCGGATGCTGATCGAGGCTTTGAACTGTGGAAATGCACTCGCGGGCTTAAACGGCAGCCTCTCCAGAAGTTTCCCTTGCTTCGATCGGACGGTACCTGGGCAAATAAAGATGATGAAATAGCTAAGGAATTCGCTGATTCTTTGGAAGAAAGATTTAAGCCTTTTGATTTGGCCACAGATGAAGAGACTGCTATTACAGAAGCCTTTGATGATGTTCCCTCTGGTCTAGCTTCTCAAATTTTACCTATTGAAGCAGAAGAAGTTAAAGACCAAATAAAGCGACTGAAGATGAACAAAGCCCCTGGCCATGACAGCATTGACGGAAAAGTAGTTAAAGCTTTGCCAGTAGCAGCTATTTCGTTCCTTACGCGTATCTTTAATGCTATGATTGTTCTTTCATATTATCCGGAGCAGTGGAAGCATGCGAATGTTGTTATGATCCCCAAGAAAGGCGTCTCTCCCCGCTGTGCAGATTCTTTTCGGCCTATAAGCCTATTGCCAACCTTCTCTAAGATTTTTGAGCGAATCTTACTAAAAAGGCTTTTTAGTGTTCATGTGTTTCAGAATGCAATTCCAAATCATCAGTTTGGTTTCAGGAGTCTGCATAACGCTGCTGAGCAAATGCATCGGGTTGTCAACCATATCCTTAAAGCATTTGAGGCGAAAAAGTATTGTTGCGCAGTATTCCTAGATGTCAAGCAAGCCTTCGATCGAGTCTGGCACTGTGGCTTGCTCTATAAGCTGAAACCCATTCTTCCCCTGACATACTTTGATCTCCTTCGCTCATTTCTAATTGGTAGAACCTTCCAGGTGGATGTTCGAGGATCCAAATCTGCCTCAAGGCCTATTCTTGCTGGAGTCCCTCAAGGAAGTGTGCTGGGTCCTGTCTTGTATACAATATTCACCTCGGACCTTCCGTCGCCCAGAGGCAGGAATGTTTTAACAGCTACCTATGCAGATGACACAGCATTTCTGGCGACAAGTGCTCTGCGAAGAGAGGCGACAGATATGGTGCAGGACATGCTAAATGAGTTTGAGGCCTGGGCGTCGAGGTGGAACATCGCAGTTAATCCTGCCAAGTCTCAGCATGCCACCTTTTCATTGAACAGGCTGAACACTTATCGCCTAACCTTAGACGGGACTCCAATAAAGCACTCGGACACGGTTAAGTACCTTGGGCTCACTCTGGACAGGCGGCTTACCTGGAAGCAGCACATTGTGGCAACCTGCGCTTCAGTAAGGCAAAAAGCGGGGAAAATGAGATGGCTTCTTCGTCCGGGCAGTGGACTATCGATCACGGCGAAAACCCGGCTCTTCAAAGCAACCTTGATGCCTAGTTTACATTGGGGTATACACTTCTGGGGCACTGCCTGTAACACTTCTATAAAAAGAGTTGAATCCTGCCAATCCAAAATTTTAAGACATATGATAAACGCCCCATATTATACAAGAAACACTACTATTTTTCGAGATCTCAAAATTAATCCTGTTTGTAAATCTATCACCAATTCTGCCACTCGCTACAGATCAAGACTCATCTCCCACACAAACAGACTTGCCCTCACACTTTCCAGACCTATGAACAGAAGAAGACTAAAAAGATTGCACCCATCTGACAATTGGATACTTGGACGGCACGCTTGTGGGAAACTCATTCCAGACTTAGACGCCTAGACTGCAACACTGCTAAACTTTTGTAACCAATCTTTTTATTCACTTTTTGTTAATTTTTATTTTTTTTTTCATGGGTGAAAGTGAATTGAGTTTCACATAACACTCTTCAATAAATATTTGTTATGCATATCAAAAAGAACTGTTCCATCAGATTGACAATTGCCGCCGGAGGAGCAGGACAGACGCATCTGGTGTAGGCGTCAAGTTGGGAATCGGGTTCGAGTGCCAGGAATTCAATCACACATCAGGCTGCAGAAATAGCGACGGTTTCGCCCCGGAAAAATCGGGGGGCTGTCGCAGGCAGCTGATGATAGCAGAATGGGCTTGCAGGGCCGCCTGTGAGGTGTCGAAAGTAATTTCCACACAACAATCAAATGTAATTCACATGCGAGCGCAAAAAAATGCGCAAAGCGACAGCTGACAATGACACTTTTCCAGCGCACAGTGGGCGGAAGTAATAAACAAATTAAATTTCTGGCTTTGGGGCATGCCAATAAAATATAGAACCAGTAATAAACCAGAAAAAAATTAGGTTCTTGCCGATTTGTAAATCTTTGAAGTTTTTTATTTTTTTAACATTTTTATTTTGTAAAAAAATTTATTTTTGTATTTTAACATCACATACTATTATGATATATTAAAAGATTTCGTACAATAAATTTGAAAATATAAATCTATAAAGGTTTTTAAAAATTCAAATATATTCCCTTTAAAAGGAACTAAATTCAAGGATACAGTACCATGTAGTACGTTGAGTTGCTAACCCGACATTCATAAAAATGTCACCGACGACATAAAACAGTATATATTATAAAATATCCCCTTCTCTGGCCCAACGTGCAAAAGGAATAAGACCAAGAGAGTGGCGTCGGGGAAGGGGGATACAGGGGGTGGCACATGCAAATGAAACGGAAATGGCATGGAGCTGTGCAATGAGGACGGGAAATAATTGCATTTACTTGCTGACACTCCCGACTCGTCGCACTTAATAAATAATAGCATTAACTTATTATTGTCACTTTCTTTGGCTCTTCCGCACCCTTTACTCATTCCTTTCCACCCTTTTTTTCAATATCCTCTCTTTTTTCAGAGCCCAGCAGAGTGCCGCCGCCGCGGGTGGTGCAGGCGGAGTGGGCGGTGGTGCAGGTGGTGGTTCCGGGTCACAATCGCGACCGGGCAGCCGCAAGCTGCCGCCGCCATTGTTACGGTCGCGCACACTGCCCGCCATCATTGTGCCAGGACTTCCGGTCGTCTCGCTGCACACGGATAAACAAACATTTCAATTGGGTGCGTAGCTCACATTCATATTACTGTGGTCGAAATGGGTTAATTATAGTAAAAAATCGGATGAAACGACCACGCTGATTCAATACACATCGATCATTTACTGATAAATCGCATTCAATGAGTTAATGTTGCATAAATAATGAGGTTTTTCCAGTAATTAATTGGGAACAAGAAAGAGTATTTTGTTTGTTGAAATTGTTAAAGGCAATGTTTGTAAATTAATGTTAATCTTTATTTATAAAAATCAGCACAGCTTAAGAAGACGATTTTAAGTGGATAAAATATAGTCTTTATTTATGTTTTAAGAAGAGTAATACGGTTTAATTAAGATAACATTTGGGTTCGGAACATCAATTGATTTATCAAGGCTGGGCCTAGAATCAGGCCAAGGGCATTCAGTAAATGCATCATATTTGTAAATTCCTGCCTATGCTGAGTGCTGCTTCAAAAGGTTTATTTGCACACCTAGAATTTCAGCTCTTGAATCCTTTCACAGCATGCCTTTTGAATGCCTTTTTAAATTGCAAATTACCTTGCCCACACAAAATCATTTTCCAGAATTTTCAATTAAGAGTGCTTGAATGCATTTTCATGGACACAACAGAAATGGCCACATTCGATTAACTAATTGATCAAAGAGTAAAGCAAATTTAAATATAGTGTGCTGCAAAAACTAGGAATTAAGTTTCCCGTCTAGACAGGAAGTATTTTAAATATATTACAAATTTTTATATATATTTGATAATAAAACTCTTAAAGTAATCCGATTAAATTTAATGCTTAGACAATTCTAAGTTTTAATCATGCAAGTTTGAAAGGCTCTTTCAGGGAATTTAAGCTTCCTGGAAAAGTAAAATAATAATGAAAATGCTTTGCACAATTTCCTGTGGCATTGGGACATGTGTGTGGGTTTGGCATGTTGTGCCAGCAGAGTGTGTAATTAAGAACTTTTGACAGGTTTTCAACACAAGTTATGATTAATACAATGAAAGTGCATTTAAGCCACACGCGCCAATGTATAATAGACATATTTACATATACATATTTGTACATTTACCCTTTGGTTTATCCGATTTTCCCATACAGACGAGCGTTTGCTGGGCAGCAAAAGCCGCAGCGGCAGCGCCAGCGGTCATCGTTGGTCGCTGCTCACACGTGCCAGCAACAACAGCAGCAGCGGCAACAACACCAACAACAGCAACAACAACAATGCCGGCAGCAGCAGCAACAACAACAACAACACGCATTTGGCCAACAACAACAATACACTAATGGTAAAATCATTGAATTTGCCGAAAGACGATAGCAATTTGGTCTATCGTCGAAAGTCCTCGGGCAGCACGCCCCACCAACATCAGAACTCGCACCACCATTCCCATCATCATCTCCACCAGCAGCAGTTGCATCAACAGCAGCAACATCCGCAGCAATCGCATCTGCAGCACCTGCATCACCTGGGGGATACCTCGCTGTTCCAACTCTCCGATGATTTTGAGTGTCACGCGGATGGATCCCTGCTGCTCAGGTGGGTAAAAGGAAGAGCACCTGAATAGCCAATCAATTAGGAAATCCTCATTAGGGATTTAATTCGAATTAAAACGGCCAAACCAAAGAACACCACAGAACAGAGTCCGTGCAAAAAGTTATAGAAGATCTCTCAGAAACTATAGTATGATCCATTAAAATCGGATAGCATCCTGTTTATAAAAACGCCTTTAACGAAGACCTTTTTATTTATTATAAAATCCTCATTAGGGATTTATTCGAATTAAAGTAGTTTTAAAACATCTCTCAGAAAATACAGTATTATCCATTAAATATCTGATTTTCTTATTATACAAATCCCTTTATCCAAGAATTTTTGATTAATTGGCACAAGATTAAGGGAGCAACGATGATTTTCGAGGATAAACTTCATTTTGCTTCAATTAATCAATGTGTAATATTAGACAAGTCCTTGATCTACTCTAACAGGATAATTAATCTCAAAATGTTAAACATAGATATTTTAACTTGCCAATAAATGTAAGTATTAGTATTCATATTATTACCCATCTCCTTTGCAGAATACCAGCTCCTCATGTGGTGGCAGCGCGAGCCTATCGACTGGCGGCCCGAAAGCGGGCAGCCGCCTCCTCGGAGGCCTCAACGCCGATGTCCCGGGAGCACACCCTCCACGAGATGCCTCTGGCGGAGACGGCCAGCTCGGGATCCGGCTCTGGATCCGGTTCTGGATCGAGCACGACCTTCACGCGGCTGGCCAAATTGCTGCATCAATCAAGCGCCCTGGCAGGCAGGCAGTCCAATCTGCAGCCACCGCCGTCGGCTGACAATGCGGTCCAGAGTCTGGGCAGAGGACTCGGCCTGGGACTCGGCGAGGAGGCGCCACGGCGTCTGTCCTGGGAGAGGTGCGTATACGTAATTTACAGCACAACAATCCCCCTACGCTGTCTGCGCTGTCAACTTTCACCTTGACTGCTGACTGGTCTGCTGGCGAACTGGTGGCGAACTGGTGCAATTAGCTAATTTCATTTACGCCCTCGAGCTGGAAAGCTGATCTCGGTCGTGTGTCTCTGGGTCCGCCACCTAATGGCCGGCCATATGAGGTTGGTCAGAGGGACAGACACACGGACGGATGAACTGGATGACAGGACAGCAGCTTGGTCTGCGTTCGAGTGCCGCATTTGTCTTCATTCGTTACGGTTCACGGCAGGCTAATGGAGACACATGCAGTCGCAAGATTAACACGCCCGGGGCATCACCGACCCACCCATCCCTTGCCCCTCCCTTCGCCACGATGCTGGCTTAATTAACGTCACTCCCTCCGCCACACGATAAGTTGCACAAATCAAACCCCAGCTGGCTGACTTGCAGGTGGTATTAAGCGGACTTAAAGATGGCTCTCACCCTGAAGGTGGAAGCGCCCTCAAGGGAAAACCAATTAAGTAATAATCCCAACCAGCCGTTTTGGTAATCATCTAGTTTAACAGTTTCAATTACCTTCAATGGCTTCAGCTTGAAATTGTTTATGGAATATAGTTTCTAATACATTATCACATTTAAAATTTATTTTAGATCAGCTGCAGATATTTTTTATTATTCTGCTCGAACTCTCATATTATTTCCTTAACAAGCTTGATATTTTTAACAAAAGGAATGACATAATTTCCGGAAATTACTAATTACCCAAAATAATAACAAACGCAAACCAACGAACAAGCGATAAGACTTAAGAATTTCGGAATAGTTCTGCAATCCGACTAAAAAACACCACGCACTCAATTAATAGTGGGGAGAAATATATTTATGAGATTATTAACGGTTTTAATGCTATTAATTTTATATGGGACATTGGCAAAGGATAAAAATTTAATTTTCCCATGAGTTCTTCTGTAAGAGATTTTTTATAACATATAAAGTCTTTCAAGACACTGAACACTCATTGGCAGCCAGCAAAGAAAATCCGAAATGAAAAGTCAGTTAATTAAAAGCTCTCCAACTCAACGGTTGTTCCCGGTTAAAGATGCTTAAGGCGGCAAGATTTTTAATACACGCGTTATTTGTGTGGAATCTGTATGGGGAGGTGAAATTGCAGGATGCCACGGATTCCGAGTGTTTACTTAAGGACCCTTTCAATCAATGTGGAGGCTATTGCCTCACTGCGTTCCTTCCATTAATTGATAAAATAATAAATGAAACCACATCTAGAATGGAAAATCTGGAGACTCAGCAGGCCGAGATGGAAAGTCACTTGTCAGACATACAAGAAACACTTAATTCCATAAAGAATGCGATGGAAAAAGAGAAGGTGACTTGGACCAAAGTCATACCTCCTCATTTCAAGAAGTTTGGCTCGAGGTACTTTCGAATCGTCCAGGAAGAGAAAAATTGGACAGATGCTGCCAGAAGCTGTCGTGAGATGGGTGGCTATCTAGCATCCTTTCAAAATGAAAAAGAATTTGAGGCCATTAGTGCAAAATACAGGAATCAACCTTATTGGCTGGGTACTAACAACCGGGTTAACTCGGACAACTTTGTATCTCTGGCCTCCGGAAAAACTGTACAGTTTTTGAAATGGAGGTCAGGACAACCGGTTCAACATTCCAACAAGGATTACCGCTACGTTTATATGGCCGATGGCAAAATGAGCATCTATACTCTTTTGGGCTCGTATTATTTCATTTGCCAGGCAGACGAAATTTAATTTAATATTTTATTCACCCATGTCCTAAGGATTGCATTTAAAAACCACTAAATATTTATTTTTGCCTGTAAACCGCGAAATATGAGTAAAACAAATGTAATGCAAGTTATTTAATTGTGGTTTAATTTGCGTGTTGGCTGAACAACATTGAATAATTGATTGGGGGAGGATACATGTTTAAATAGTTTCCTAATTTTAGCACATTTGCTTATTCTAAATTCACAAGCTTCAACGGATTTGTGGGCGAATCAAACTAGTCCCGATTAATTATGTAAACACATTTATCGACATGAAGCTAAATGGGGAAATGTGTGGGCCGCATTATTTATACGACCCAGCCCAGACTGGCCAATATCACATGTCCCTGACGGAATTAAGCAATTTACGAGCGGACAGGCTACGCCTTGAACTCTTCTCCTCTGCACTTCACAATGGACCACTTGCCGTTGACCATGGTCAAGAGTGTAAAATCATTTTGGCAAACAAGCCGCAGGAGGTACAGAAGGACCTTTCCCCCGAACACTGATTGCAACGCTTCTGTCTTTCTCTCTCTGTCTTTCTGACAGCAGGACACTGGATATATGTACCGAGCACACTGAGTCCTGTGTTCTGGCGCAACAACGTCACTGTTTTATGTGTTTAAACTTTGATATTTTAAAATGCAAAAACCCAAAACCGAAACAAAAGGAGTCCGCTTTTTTGGGACGGGTTATGGCCATCGTTGTTGTTCGGTTTGGTTCGGTTCTGTTCTTTTCTTTTCTGTTTGTATTGAGTTACGTTGCTAAATTTAGAGCCAACGAGCTTGTACGCAAGTAAAACAACGTAAATGGCAAGAGTGGAAGCGGGCAATGCGCATAATAATAACTGCAAAGCTCGGCCAAGATAGAGTGAGTTGGTGAGTGCGGGGATTTCCACTCCTGCGGGGAGTGAGCGGGCCAAGAAACTCCCCAGTTAGGGTCTTAGTTGGGGTTTTTTTCAGTCCTCACTGGCTTAATTGTGAATGCATTATTCATGAGCCAACAGCCAAAGACAAAGATGGAGGCGGTCCACCCGAACCTTCAACATTTTAAGAAAGTGAACAAGTAGTCGACCAAGGAATATCTTCGACATTAATTTTAAAAGAAAATTAAAAGTTAGTAGGAGCTTTTGGCAAATATTATATTTAAATTTACGTAATAATTAAGGAAGCCATCGGAAATAATAGCTCACTGATTCAAGTTAAAAAGTGTTTTCACGCCGTTGACACGTAAAATTAATTCAAGCAGAGGTTTCATTCAATAATCAATTTCCGGCTGATTTATTTTCACACACATGCACAGTGATTGTTAAACAATATGTTGTCATCCACAAAAAGAACTTGTCCGCTAATGGATATGGATTTTTTAAAGCCAAACCGAAGCTTCGCTTGAACAATGCATTCTCCTTTGATTGGATTAATACATTCGAGAATACAAATGAACAGCTTTCATGTTTTAATTAATGTTCTTTTAATAAAAAAAAAAATCATTGAGGACTTTAAATTTACTATTTATTTATTATTTTGGCAAACTTATAATATAGATCGAATGAATGTTTATTTGGTTTTCCCATTTTGCGTGTTAAGCCCATAATACCTCTGCATTTTGCCATGAAGAGGTATACGAAGATGGAGAGGACGTGAAGCGGAGCCAATAAAATCGTGTCCTGCCACCGCGCAGCCAGTCTGATGTTGTGGATAAAGTTTTGTGCGTCTTGTCGCCGCTGCTCCTGCGGCAGGAGGAGCCACTAAACTAGCTGGGACAACAAGATGCCACTGGAAGTTCGAGTAAACGAACCATAACTGAAATTGCGCATACGTCATGTGCGCCATGCACACCCACGACCGCAGAGATGCGAAAACAAATACAATGACAAAACTCATTAGCTGGGTTGCGTGGGCTGTGGCGGCAGGTTATGTAGTGTAAAATTTTATAAATTGCATGCGGCTTCGCGGAACAAAAAAAAAAAACAAAAAAATGGGAAAAAAAAGTTTTGCTAAAAGCCTCGACAAAGTCGCCGACTTGCTGATGTCAACATCAATTTGTGTGGCACGGCCGCCATTCTGTTTCTGATTTATTTTCAGTTTCACTTTGTGTCCTTTGAGCGGGAACCCTCTGTTTGTGCGTATGTTTGTGTGTGTGATTCGCATAAAAGGTCGGAAAATGCGAGTGGAAACCCCGCTCTGATGATGAGCGACAGACAACAACCAAAAATTTGCCAGATGTGACCCTGAAAGAGTCTACTGGTTGGAGTTGGCCAACAGTCATTAGGCCTAATGTGCGGCTCATTTGACCAGGCCAAAAGCACACAGGCCAAAGGATATCGATCCAGAGTTAACTAACTTCCATGTCCCAATGCACTTTACACTCACATCCAATTACCGTATAGGCGACACTCAGCCATGTCCCAGTCAATTGTTCTGAGGCTGCCAACCTACATCTGATTCCTGTGCCAGCCAGACCCTATTAAGACCATTTTACACACTAGGTTGTGACAGTTCAGTCCGCCCTTCAAGAGCTTAAAGGAGTTTTCCAAGGACATGACGAAAATTTCTAGTGAATTTCACTTCACTTTCGGCGAACCAAACTCGAAATATTTAAGCAGGCAAGGATTGTGTGCGTAAATGTGTCACCTGTCCCTAGCACATTGCCTGAAAATCACTTTTGACGGAGGGAGTTGTGTGAATAGTGTAAATACGGAGACCAAACCAGGCATGGAAAGGCACTCACCAGGGAGAAAAGCACACAAATGTACAGGGAGAAAAATATAATAGTCTGTTTTTAGTCTTGATAATTTAATGTTACATTTTAATATTATGATCATTAAATCATACCTCTACGATAGCTGTTATTTTAAATTGATGTCTTAAGAAATGTTTTCATATGGATTTATTTTTTCTCTGAGTACAGATATTCCATATACGCCTCCCCATTTCACCTGAAAAATAAATATGTGTGTACGACCTTGCCAAGTCAAATGCCTGTCTGTTTTGTTGATTTTTCGATAACGTATCCTCGACAAAGGAAAACACAGGCCAAGTTTGTTTGGCACATCACTTGACTTATTGCCACCAGTTGGCAGTTGGTTAAAGTGCCTGGCATGTTGGCATATCTGCATAAGTTAATAACAATCATTACTATCGACGGCTCCTAGATGCCTTTCAATACAGAACTACACTTTGAGGTTTGTTGGCAAACACGCTACCCATCTTATGGCGGTTTAGGCTCAGAGAACCTCAGGGAACTCGGGGCATATGGTCGCCTGTCATTTCTCATCTGCATCGCAGGCAGCCAACGATGAGGTTGACAACTAGCAAGGGCAACACGCCACAGCAGCAAGTCAAGTAGAGCTAACTAGGGTCTACTTTGCCGCCTGTCGCCTGCCGTGAAATGTGTCTGTGGCTTGGGGGTTTCTTATATTTCTTTCCTCACCGAAACCAACCCTTATCCACCCCCTAAAATACCCCAGCCATCAGCCATCAACGACGATGACGAGTACAAGTTTTTGCAGTACAGTTTACTATGGGATGTACACTTGGAAAAAAATCGTGGTAATAAAATATTTCCATTCAACATTTTTTAAAAAAATCCTAATTTTAAAAATTTTATTTAAGAAACAAATACATTTACCGTTAAAGTTTGTATATTTTTTTTAAGAACTAAAACAATTTGGAACCTCGATTCCTTATATTTCTCTCAGTCTAGCAGTGGAAATGCCTTCTTGATGGGCAAAGGGTTTGCTTTTGGGGTTGGGGAAGCACTTCGTTTGTTGCTTAAAAGCGTCGTAATTTGATTGAATTTGCGTTGATTAAGCGTATTTAGCTGTTGGCAAATTATGAATGTGTTTAATTGCAAACTCACTTAATTGTCTCGTGGGTAGGAGGCGAGTAAAAGACGGAGATCGGAAAGAGCGTCTCCGGGTTTATTATGGTTTCGGATTAACGGAATTAGCGTGAGTACGAATGCATCCTATGTGTGTATGTACAAGGAGACCTCTTGTGTCCCCCGAAACAGCCCCTTCAATCTCCATTTGACGTTACGAGGGCGTTGAGACTGCCGACAGCTTTTGCGGTTTTAATTGAAAATGTTGCGCATACGACATGTTGTTGCAGACACACAACCGAAACTCGTATTAATATATGAGCTTTCATCGGAGGACAAATTGGTTACCAGTCGCTGGCATAGAGAAAGTTCAGCCCAAGGTTGGAGCGTGCTTAATGTGGTCGAGTTTCCCAACTTGACTCTGATTATGCAAATGCTGTAAATGAGCAAAAGAGCGCCGGCAGAGGCAACTCAATTTGTGTGCGGCTTGCAAATTAATTCAGGGTAGTGCAGAACACACAGCAAAATATGATGCAGCTAAAGAAGAACAAAGTTCGCAACTAAAGTTCGCTGTGCAGTCAAATCATGAACTGCCTTCCCATCCAGATCCCCATCCCCGCAGATGGCAAATTAATCCATTACTAGGCCGCCAAGTGGACCGTAAATTGCAGTTTACTCTGACCCATCAGCCACATCACTCACCTCGATTTGCAGGCCATAAACTTGGCCAGTCATGGGCAAAAGCGTGCCGGCCGAACGCAAGAAAAGTGCGGGAAAAGCGCAGAAAAGTGTTTGACTTCAATGAAGAAATACACTCGACCAGCTACGAACATGCGTCAACTTTGTCAGCATTACCCACAGCAACACATTAGCAGCAGCTGTGGCTGCACTCGCAAAAAACTACAACTATTCAGCTACAAAATGGATGAAAAAAACGAATAATTCAAAGGTATTGGTTTTTAGGAAAATAAAACATGTATTTTTTAATTTGCCAAGTTTTTGGAAAATCAACTAAGAAGACTAAGAATTTTTTTTAAAAGTGAAAAAATTAAATTACTTTTTAATTTCTATCTATAAATTAAATATTTGTAGCCCGTCCTAACCTAATTTTAACCTAATTCAAAATAAATTCTTAAATAAATGGCAGATTTAAAAAAACATAAATATGCACCAAGATATGAATTTGAATTATTTTATCCTCTACTTTTATAGATCACGGAATCGGATAGTGAACCTAAATAGGGTCGCTTCAAGATACCGAGAATAAGCATATCCTTAACTTAAACAGAATTTATAGTAATGATTGAAATTAATCATTGATCTCTTGAAATACTAGAGATTTAGTGTGTCAAAAAACAGGAATTTATTATTATAGGAACTACATTTTTATCCGTGTACTTACACAGCAGTGGCGACACTTGTGCCGCTGCCCCGGCGAGCGGCTTTCTCCTCTTGGCGTGGCCATAAAAAACGGTCACATTATGGCAAACTAGGCCGGCCAGTGACCGCAGCGGCACTTAATGGTCTGCGGGCAGCTCATTAAAATGTCAGACAGCGTGAAGTAATTACGATACTCTGCAAGTTTGCACTTGTTAGAGGAATCTCCGAGCCCCCACCTCCAAAGGAATCCCCACCAGAATCCATTGAGTTGCTCATCGTGTTTCATGACTTTGGTTTATGTGTTTCCTTTATATCTATTTGCAGGCGCAAGGACAGCAGTGCTCTGCAGCGCTCGGCCAGCATCGACTCCTTTGCCGAGATTGTGTTTAGCGAGTCGCCACGCCCCTCGCTGGCAGTCACGGGACCAGGTGGCTCCTCCTCCTGCGGCGCCCCCTCTCCGTTCAGCAAACGTCCTTCGGCCAGCAGCCTGTACTCCACCTCAACGTCCAGCTCCTTCGGCTCGCAGGCGCAGGCCCAGCTGAATGTCAATTACGGTGACTCGCCAGCCGGATCCGGATCAGCGGGTGGACCGGTCCCCGGCCACCATGGGGCGTCAGGTGGCGGCGGCAACGGGGGCAGCAGTGCCAGCAGCAGCCGGCGCGAAAGCATGCTCAGCCCCTCCTCCACGCGCCGCTCCAAGCTGACCAGAATCATAAACGGTGAGTGCGGAAAATCGGATGCGGAATCCACAATATCTACTTTGTTGCCAGGCGATGCGTGCCATATCGTTGGTTAGAACTGGGAACTATCTTTTTTTCAGGCACTTTCTACCCTTTACACTTATGAACGAGGGATATTGTAGCGATCATATGGCTCTTTCAATCGCTTTAAGTAATTTAAAATATTTAAATTGAAAAATGGAGTACTTCTCGGTTATTTTGCTTTATTTTTTAGACCTTTATTAATGTGTGTTCGGTTTACAGGGTAATATTTGTAGGTACATTTCTATTAATCTTAAGTTCTAAGACCCATAGTGACCTATTCCAGAAGAACATAATTTCTAGGTACTCTAATTAATACAAAACTGATTAATAATAAATCTATAGCAAAGTAATGAAAGATTTGGAATCCCTTTTCATTTAATATTCTTTTCAAAGAACGATAAATGAGAAATATTATAAAGGATTACCCTTTTTACCCATAAAAAATATCTTTGAAAAAGCACTCACAAATTTGATATTGTGGGTGTTAAAAATGGTTTCTAGAACAAATTAATGTACCTTACCCATCACTGTCGAGTTGGGGAGTGAACTTCCTGACCAGAAGGGGAAATGGAAGTGGACGGAAAGAGCTCATCGTTCTAGTCATCGGTGGCTTATTTATTTCGCTGCAGCCGGCTGATTGAAATTCAAATGCGCACTCGAGTTTTCCGGATGGAAAGCTGGGCAGGCGCGGTATTAAATCGATTGCCACTTGGGCCAAGTGCTCAAAGCTCAAAGTGTAAGGGATTGGAAATCAGAGAGAGGCGTATAAATCAGAAAATCAATTTAATGCAGCGCACTTGAGAAAGAACACAAACTTTTGTTAAAGGTGAAATATTTAACCTAGCCGTCGATGGAAGCTAACTTTTGAGACGTTAAAATACCCAACAAGCTATAGGTGAAAACTTGTGCCGTGGTTTAATCGGTTGGAATAGTAAGAGTAAAACCAAAAGTTGTTGAAAATGCTCAAGCGGCTTCCTCTTGACAAAACTTTATGACCAAACTGTTCCTGGAAATGCTCTTCAAAGCCTATCGGACTAAAAGGAAAGAAAGAAGAACCGGAACAAGTCTGTGATTAAAACAAATCAGCAAGCTGCGAAGATTATTATTATATTTAGAAAAAAACTATAAAATTTCAATTTTTTTCGCAGGATTTCTAAAAAAAACCATTGAATGTTTATTTTATGTTTGTGTTGTTTACTATTTCGTTTATTCTCAATTTCGAAATTGATCAACTACAAATTTTTCTGTAAATTTAAATCGACGTCTGCAATAAATTGCTAGTGATAAAAAATATTAATAAAGCCGAGCTTCCTCTCCCAGCTTCCGAATCAAGGGATAAGACTTTTGCTGCGATAGCGAAAAATAGACTTTCTGAGAGCGTGATCTCTTCTCTCCCCCTCACTATCTACCTCGCTTTTATCGTTGCCCCCAGCAGAGGAGCTTTCCAGTTGCAACGCCAAAGAGTGACGAACTTCCAGAGTTGACGACTTAGCATTATTCTCGCCAAAACTATAGATTTTTTAGGTTTAAAGAAATTAATTAATTTAAATCTGTTTACTTCTAAAAATTAAAGAAGAAAAGACATTAGGGATTCTAAAGATCACAGATATGATCGAAATATACTGTTGGTTCATGTAGCTTGTACCAACTCAATTATGAACCTAAGTACATTACATGGTCCAAAAAATGAAAACCTATTCTCAAATTTAAGTGTGCAAAAAACGTATTCGAAAGCCAAAATTTTTTTTTTAGATTTAATCTTAAGTTTTCTTAAAAATTACTCATACGACATGCATGACAGTTAGTATTCAGTCGAACAAAAACCGTTCTCCCATTTCTTTGTTGTCAAATTATGTATTTCGTTGTAATATTTTGTTTAAAACAGGGAGAGTAAGCAAATGTGTGGTTCAAATGTACATACACTTGCCAGAAAAAGTATGCGTACAAATATTTTCCGCAACTTTAGAGCTTAAAAAACGTCTTTAAAAAAATTCGTAAAAATGTCATTTTAATTTTAACATTTAGTACACATATTAAGCTTTAATTTGACGTAACTTATTAATTTCTAGCACCTTTACTTTTCCTAATATAAATAAAAATGTACAAATTGGCCGGATTTCGCATCAGAAAAAGTATGCGTACAAATGCATATGGTATTAGAAAAAGCATTATTTTGGGCAAAGTACGTCGAGTTTAGTACGGAGTTTGATACCCTTTATGTTTTATAACTTCAGTCTACATATTCGTCATCGATTGGACCAATGTCCTTGCATCCATCGCCGTTATTTGATTCCATTCCTCGACATTGAGTTTTTTCAGGATATCCTTGGATGCAAGGGTGTGAAGGCGAGTCCTGCCCTCCAGGACATCACAAAAATGCTTTACGGGATTGATATATACTATTTTGATGGCGAATGTAGCTGTTTTACACATAAAAGCTTTGTTTTGTGGGCGCAATGTTTAGGTTCGTTGTCCTCTTGGTACCAAAAGTCCTTTTCGAGTCCCACTTTCAGGACGCTTTAATTTCTTGTCTTAAAGTGCATAAAACAACCAACAAAATGAGGTATCGTTTATTAAAATCAACAACTTAACGAGAAATGGGTATAAAAACTTTCTTATTTAGATAGAAGGTTAGTTTTTTTTGAAATTCGTATGAAATTCGTGCATTACGCCAAAGCAGTTGTTTGTTTGGTTATATGGCTAGCCATTTCTCGTTAAGTTGTTGACCGATTTTAATAAACGATACCTCATTTTGTTGGTTGTTTTATGCACTTTAAGACAAGAAATTAAAGCGTCCTGAAAGTGGGACTCGAAAAGGACTTTTGGTACCAAGAGGACAACGAACCTAAACATTGCGCCCACAAAACAAAGCTTTTATGTGTAAAACAGCTACATTCGCCATCAAAATAGTATATATCAATCCCGTAAAGCATTTTTGTGATGTCCTGGAGGGCAGGACTCGCCTTCACACCCTTGCATCCAAGGATATCCTGAAAAAACTCAATGTCGAGGAATGGAATCAAATAACGGCGATGGATGCAAGGACATTGGTCCAATCGATGACGAATATGTAGACTGAAGTTATAAAACATAAAGGGTATCAAACTCCGTACTAAACTCGACGTACTTTGCCCAAAATAATGCTTTTTCTAATACCATATGCATTTGTACGCATACTTTTTCTGATGCGAAATCCGGCCAATTTGTACATTTTTATTTATATTAGGAAAAGTAAAGGTGCTAGAAATTAATAAGTTACGTCAAATTAAAGCTTAATATGTGTACTAAATGTTAAAATTAAAATGACATTTTTACGAATTTTTTTAAAGACGTTTTTTAAGCTCTAAAGTTGCGGAAAATATTTGTACGCATACTTTTTCTGGCAAGTGTACCTCACCCGGAGTAAGAAAACTTTTTGATCAAAGCCAACAGTGCGTATGAGTATAAACTTTGAAGCCTCTTCGGCGGTTTTTCTTGGCAACACTGCTATTAACTGTGAAGCGCTGACCATTAACGGCCAACGCCAACGCTGACGTCGACGCCGACGTCGACTGCGACGCCGCCGACGGCAGACAACAACGGTAGTTCCCCACGATCACGATCGCAGGCGCAACAACTGACTTCGATTTCTCTCAGCGTTTTCAGTCAACGATCGTCTTCTGAGCAGAGAGCGCGCGTCGGCGTCGCAAATAAGAAATTCCCCCTCGGTCGTTACTGTTTTTAAGAGCAACGAGCTCCAATTGGTGAATCCACATCCACTGGATGGATGATCTATTATTTTGTTTGAAAGTGCTGAATAAGATCCCGGAATCCGAATAGTGGCGGATTTGTGAAAATTGTGCAAATGAAAAAACGCGTCTCTTAGCGTTTTGTTTCTGCTTCGCTTGCTGCGCCTGCGTGTGTGTGAGTGTACGTATACGCTGCTACCTGTTTGCGGCTCCCCTGTGTGAGTGTGCGACAGAGAGGGAGAGAGTGAGAGGTGAGAGAGATCACCTTGTTGGTGTTACCTGCTCAAAAAAAAGAGAGAGCCAAAAGGAGAGTGTGTGCGTGCTGCTGCTTAAGAAGTGTCAAAAAACTAAAGGCGTCGCTTTCGTTTAAAAAAGTAACGTAAAACCGAAAACAGCATTTAAAAAACACAGTAAATAGCCTCGGGGCAAAGAGAAATTCGCGGTGTGTGTTTATTTGCAATGTTAATTAAATATTACGTGCCAGTAAAAACTGCAATTTGCTGGGAGACAATTGGGCTCTAACGGTAATTGGATTGCATGTCCAACTTTGTGGGAGCCGCAACAACAATTGCTCCGGCGTAAGAAAGAGAGGGGCAGCGAAAGTGAACTTTTGCTTTTGCGGCAGAGAGGGACGAAGAGATGCGGAGAGCAATTTACTCACGTGTCCATCAAACTGTCTCCCTGTTGATGCGTCTCCTTCTTCTTCACTGCTTGCCGCCCCCTCTTCGATGCAACATAATTATGTACACAGAAAGAAAATATTGCATCTATTATCGATAAATTAACTAAACCCTTTTGAAAAAATTACCAGAACTATTTAAATTAGCTGAAGTAAATAACAATAAAACAAGAGGGAACGTTATAGTCGGGTGCCCCGACTATCAGATACCCGTTACTCAGGTAAAGGGAGTGCGAGGGAGATGGAGATAGAGATAGAAAACGTTGATCACGCATAACTTTTTAACGAATGGTCCGATTTGAAAAATTTCTTCTACATTTCGATAGGTATTGATAAACACAATAAAACTGCATTTTTACTTTTCCAAAATATTAAAATTTTTAAAATCGTATATAAGCGATGGTGGGCGTTAGAGGGGGCGTGGCACCATTTTGAAACAAACTTGCGCTGCGTAGGAATTCCTAGAATCTGCATGCAAAATGCCAATCTTCTAGCTTCTATAGTTTCCGAGATCTCAGCGTTCATACGGACAGACGGACAGACAGACAGACGGACAGACGGACAGACGGACATGGCTAGATCGACTCGGCTAGTGATCCTGATCAAGAATATATATACTTTATGGGGTCGGAAACGCTTCCTTCTACCTGTTACATACTTTTGCACGAATCTAGTATACCCTTTTACTCTACGAGTAACGGGTATAACAAACAAATTAATAATT